AATAATGTCTAAACTGAATTTGGTTTGCTCTATTCTTCATTTCTTTTATAATATTTTGTTAAGTAAATTCATTCATTGCCTACGCCATTTTGTTGTGCATCATCCTTCACCTGAGACCCCTATCCAGAAACCTTTGAAACAGCAAATGAACCAATTGAATTAGTAACGAAATCCAGCTAACGGTTTGCCTGTGTGATAGTAGTTTATAATTAAAACCGTTGGCTGGATTATACCATCTCCAAATCATACAAAAAAAAACTGAAAACGCGAAGAAGAAGCATTTAAATGGCGAGCCAAGTGAAGAAGCATAAACATATAACATAATCCAAATTATATACACATATAATAACATGAGAAAATACACTTAAAAATATAGATATACATATAAATATATATATACAAACATATATAAACTAAAGAGAAAAACGAAAAAAAAAAAAAAAAATGAAACCCTAAAATATTTTTATTTTTACTTTAATTATTTCTAAAGTACATACGTATATGTAGTTAAACAATTTTTTTTTTTCGTCGTCTACATATTATTTGTTAAGTTCATTAATTAATCTACATAAATAAAAGATAATCTACAAAAGTGTAGGCGACCTAATGTATCTACATTGTACATTGTATCTACATTACTGAGCTAAAATATCTATAAATATTTTAAATATAACAAAACAACAACAAAAAAACAGTAAAATATTATTAAAAAAAACCAAAAAAAAAAAAAAATACTTCTTTTTATTTCAATTTTTTTTTCTTCTAATTTGTTTATTTAGGTTTTGGGTTTGTTCATTTTCTGTTACAATTTCAATTTCAATTTTAGCTCGGATCCAGTTTTTGCAAATTAAAAAAAGCTTCGTACTTTTTAGTTTGTTTCTTATGTTTTGATTGCATTTTTAGTATTTTGGTCAAATCCAAGAAAACTTGTTCTGTTTTTGTTCAAAATATATTTTCTCGCTTTTCTCAGTTTTCCGACAATTCCAACACGAATCTCGTTTACAGCCAAGGGCAAGGCAGCGCACACAACCAACCGACCTCGAAATGATGCCAAGAAATTTGTGTTTAGGGCCAAACGCTTTTACTATGATGGAACTCTATGCAAATGTACCCGAGAATCTATTTGATATATAGTATATATTTAATATATGTGTGTGACTAAACTACTGTAACTACTACTACTACTATATACCACACGAGCCGAAAACTCAACAATTCCCCTACCCAAAGCAAAATTGTCTAAATTAATGAATTTAATACATGTGTAGCATGTGTATCTGCAAAAGTAAGGCATAAAAATGTAAAAACTAAATCATAAGGTAACAAGAAAGTAAACACTGAAATAAAATACAGAGTACACACAGCAACAAAGCATAAGAAAACAAAAAAGAAAAAAAGAATCCAAAATGTATATGAGTACATTTATATATACATTTATACGATACATACTATATACTAATTAAATAAAAAAAAACAAAAACAAAAAAGATATGCAAACTAAAAATAAATAAATAAATGAATTAACTACCTCAGCTTTGAATATTTCTATAGAAATGTTATTAAATGTATTTGAATGGCAAAAAAGATGAAAAAAAAGATAAAAAGTAAGATAAAGAAACAGAAACGGCAAACAAGTTTTAGAGCTGCATTTATATACATACATACATTCAAACATACATGCATACATACTAGTAACAATACTATTTATACTATGTGTACGTACATTTTGCATATTCCTATATAGCTAAATAAACATAAAAGCAAAATGGGTCACTAAAACAAAAAGAAAACATAAAAAAATGAAATCCTAAAACAAATTCATATAGTATATATATATATATTTGTATACATGAAAAAAAAAAAAACACAAATAACAATAATTTTGCGTCCATTTTTGTTGTTTCCTATACAATGATAAATTCTATGAAAAAAAAAAACCAAAAACAAAACGTATTTAATTACATATATAATTGTTTTAAAGTGTGAACGTAACCAATCAGCAAAAGTAATCAACCAGCGGCAGCAGCCAGGCTCTAATGATTTATGAAAATGTCTATACTACTTACATATATCAACTCAGTGTATGTTTGTCTCTGCCACTAAGAAAAAACGAAAAAAAAAATGAATGCAAAAATAACCATAAACACGCAAGAAATAACTAATAAAACTAAATTAAAATATATGATTAAAAAAAACCTTATCCATAAGAAAGCTTTCTCGGTGTCAGTTGTGTCATAGTTTAGATTCAAAGCAAAATTAAAAATTTATTAAAAAAAACTTCATGAATTAGCCATTGATTTGCAAGACCTGCACACCACTGTGTATGTCATATGGACATACAAATTTACACACTACTACAAAACTAAAAACTGTCCAGGCAGCATTATTTAAACAGTCCCAAGCAGTGGTCTGCTTTATCTATGCATAATAACCAATGAAAAAAAAAAAATACATGTGCGTACATTAAGTCAACTAACATTTTTCCTTTTCGGTGTAATTGATTGTTAAAGACACTAGGCGAAATGCGAAAAGCCAACCCAACAACAACAACAACAACAATACAATAAAGTTGAAACATTAAACTACTTTTAAACACATACACTCTAACATATTAGTAAATCAAAAATGTACACTCACGAATACATTACATTCCCCACATCAATCTAATGGCAAACCCAGCTAAAATGTTAAACAAATAATAAGAAAGTAAAATTTTTGTGAACATGTGAAAAACGAAAAAAAAAACGAAAGGAAATTTACCCAATAAATGATTTTTTCGTATACACTTACTTGTATATTATTTCAAACTTGGCGCCGAATATGCTCGATAAATATGATAAGATATCGATACATTTATTTATTAGCGATAGTTCTGCCTGCACTCAGTGATGATTCAAATTACATATTTTTGCAGCTTGCGATACTAACGGCAATTCACATTATATTTAAATTATCCATTAGCTTAACGAATCATTACTTGTGTTGCACATCTGTACTATCTTGCGACTAAACTAAAAGCTAAAATTCATATATTCCCGGAGCTTAAAGCTCAATGCGATGCAATTGCTTGGTTGGTTTGTTTTGGCTGTAATGCAGCCCTGGATTAATTTTAACCGCCATTGATTCAAACTTGATTGCCATGGCTGCAAATATCTTTGAATAAAAACATTGTGTTATATTCTGGTTAATTATAGCACAGACCACTGTACGAATGCTGCCTAAAAATTAGACTTTTAAATACAAGAACTTTTAAATTTGGGAGTTGTGCACTGTGTGCCATTAGACAATTTTAGACCATTTTGAAATATTTGGTCACCCTGTGAAGTACTAAAAGTATTGATATCGATTTCGTTACACATCGATGACCACAGTAATCGTCCCAAAGAAAAAGCATAAAAGCATAAATGTATTTACAGTTTACAAACAGAAATAACTATAACAACAGCATAGAGCGGAGCGCTTTAAATATAACGTAAATAAAAAAGCCAATAGCAATAAAAGCATTCTGTAAGCTAAAATAGTTCAATATGACATTTAGATTTTAATTGCGCGCGCTATAAAACTTAGATATATACATATGTATTTCTAACTTATTTGTGGAAGGAAGAGTCGCCTTTTGTCGGCTTAATAGAACAAATGTGTGTGCGTGTGTGTTAGTGTGAGTCTGTGTCTGTGTCGGTCGCTGTGTCTGTGGCTGTGTGCGTGCGTACAATACATAACAACAAAAGAGTGGACAACACCTTGGCGACGCTAACAAATTGAATTAGGAGCTTTAGAGTGTAAACAATGTTGACGTATGTATGTATGTATATGGGCATATGTCCATCTTTGTCTCCCCATCCTCAATGAAGCAAACAACAAGTAGACGTTGCGCCTGCTGTCATTTGGGCTATTTATATGCCGATTAGCATGCTCAACGTGGAAATGAATTGAAAATGGGGTGGGTTTTGGTCAGGGGGAAATTGTTGCCGGGCAGGTCGATCAAAAGGCATTCCATATGCATTGAGCTGCATTTGTGCTACGCAAGACTCTCTGTCTGTGTACATATGTGTGTGCACTTGTCTATTCATGCATAATTCATAATCAACGGGCTGAACTAAACTCAAATGTAATAAATTAGCTCAGATACGCTGGCTGCCAACGGGAAACAAGAAGCGCAGGTTCCCAGTTTTCGTTCTCGTTGTTGTTGTTTTTTTAGTATTATTATTTTTTTCGTGCAGCTGTTTGTGGGACGCAAGAGTAGATTCCACCCACTTAACAGCATGCAAGCACTAAAAGTGGACGGCACTGACTGGGCCTGACCTTGGAGCAAATATCGACTCTACGTATAAGCTTTATATACATATATGTATGTACATATGTATATGTACAATTGGTCATCAATCTATTCAATGCAATCTGTAAGCAAATGCAAGGCTTTAAGGCACACTTCGTTGCCCCGACGATAGATTGGACTTTGACTCTTTATTAAGTAGTATCTCAGCTTGTCGTACCACTCACTCTCTCTCTCTAGTCGCCTTGATAAGACGGCGACGAGGACGCTGATTGAATGGGATGCATTTGAAGCATATGTATACTATATAGAATTATACATGCATCGTGATATACGCACAAATGTTTGCTAAATCTATGTACATATATGATTTAAATGACGTATTTAACCTAATGCTCCAGCTGATTAAATCAGTGAACTAAGCTTATCATCACAAATAATGGCTAATAAAAAAATAGCGAAAATTGTGAATTTTGTCACAAAAAAACTGAGCAATAGGTACCGAAATTTAAATATTTCCTTGATTTAGCAATTCTTTGAATTCAAGTTTTTAAATAATACAAATAGTAATATCATTCTAAAATAATATATTATATACATATACACAATAATATTGCACAAGTACACATTTTGGAATATTCAAAGTGATTTCATATTTCTTTTGTTTTTATATTATATACAACCAAAGACTTTGGCAATTTGAGGTGAATTGAACAGAGTTTCTTTGTTAACAAATTAATTTGGCAGCTAGATTGGTAAGGGTAGACAACAGATGGGGCTTATCAAATTTCGCTTAGCTAATCCGGAATCAATTCGACATCGTCGCGACAAGTTCGATAAGGTAAACACAGCAAACCATTTGAGCTATAAACATAAAAAGTCCAATAATATTGTATATTGCGCTATCTATCTATCATAAAGGGGATTGGGGTTTGGCTACCTTATCAGGCTCCACTGTCAATCATTGGGCCTATTACAATCGGGCTATATATCAATATACATAAAAATAAAACAAACAAATATGTGTAGAATCAAAGCGAATGGTATTTAAATAACAATAATCGACAGAACCAGCTGCTGAAAGCGATCCACAGCTGCAGAGCGAGCTGGGAGCGGACGATGAATAATCTACTGCAGGATATACAAAACAAATACTCATTTCTGGATAATCTATTCAGTCACGTATGGAAATGCATTATTCGATCGAATCTGAAGCTCAAGCTCCAACTGCGAAATATTCAGTGGAAGAATGCCAAAGCAAAGCCCGGCTGTGCCTATCAACCCACAGAAGTAAGCCATATTAAATAAACATAAGAAGCATTCATAGCTACATATATATGTATGTATGTGTATATATTCATGTTGATTTCCTTTTGAAGATCGAACAGGTGGCTAATGTTATTACCCATGGCATTTGGATAGTTCCCGCCGTTTTTGCCGTCATCAAGCTCTTTGAGCGCTCCAACAGCTATAGCCAATATTTAGTCTCATGGGTCTATGGCACTGCGCTCTGTATGCTGTTCACAGTTTCCACGTTTTTTCACTGCTCTTGCTACTGTGCCGAACACAAGTGAGTTTCGCCAAAATATATAGCTAACCTGTTCCACTTTCTACATAGTTTTCTTTTGCAGACCGCCAAAAAATTATAATGCTTGGCCCACATTCGGCTGGCAGACGTATCAGAGTCTAAAGAATGTCTTGCATCGTTGCGATCGTGCCATGATCTATGTGTTTATTGCCGGCTCATATTTTCCCTGGCTGACGCTGGAGAATACCGACCATTCGGCTATACTCTTCTGCATGGAATGGATTATTTGGCTAATGGCTGCCATTGGGATTGCTTACCAACAAGTAAGATAAGATGCGAGCGCTTATCGATCGATTGAGCTTATCCACTTCATTTTGGCATTGGCATTTACTTACAGCTCTATCATGAACGCTACAAATGTCTGGAGACCTTCTTCTATATTGTCATGGGCCTGGGTCCGGCGCTCGTAGTCATGCTCACGGGACATCATTTCAATGGCATGCTGCAGTTGAAGTTCGGCGGTGCCTTCTATATACTGGGCATTATATTTTTTAAGTCAGATGGTTTGATTCCCATGGCGCACGCCATTTGGCATCTGTTCGTGGTGCTCGCCGCCGGCTGTCATTATTATGCGATTTTAGTAAACTTATATCCGAATGACTCCAATCATTTACAAACTAGTAGCTAAGTTAATGCTAAGTATGGGCATAGCTCACGGCTCACGGCTCCAAGGACCTTATCGTTGAATGTACTTAACTAACTGACCAACGGTTCCATTAATGGTAGATGGTGACCCACCAAAACTCCATTTGATTACGAATTTTTATTTTTTTTTAGTTCTTTATTTTATTTTTTTTTTTTGTCATATTTTTTTATGCTAGTTTTTGAGATAAATGAATGTATTCCTTCCTACCAACAACCCATATAAGTTACTACTCCAAAATTAGCCAAATTTTGTACAAAGTTTATAGTATTTAAATAATTTGTTCTTGTGTGGTATGAGTTGGGTTTCGCAAACGGATTTATATATTGTACGATAGCTGTAGTTCTAGATATAGTAAGTTATCAAATTTGTTAGAATAAGGTAACGGATTTTAAAGATATTCGATAATGAAAACGTATCTTGTGATCAACATCTGCGGTCTTGCCAAAGATTGGAATGGAAATTATTAATTCTCAAATCGTATATAATATAAGAACACATTCATATATATATATACATAATATGACCGATTTTCTTGTAGGTAGACCAAACACCTATATACATATATATATATATATAAATTTATTTTTTTCTATAACAGCTATAGAACATTTTATAATACTTACCTATAACTAGCTCACATCTGACAATGTGTGCTTTAAGACTAACAAAGTGTACAAACTCCAATAGTAGAACTTGAACTTGAACTTTGACGATTTAATTCAACGCCTTTCAAAATACTGGAAGCCCGCCTAAATGAACATATACACACACAGTTATATTAAGACATATGTATGATAATAATATAATATATATTACAAATATAATTAGCATAGAATGAACAAAAGCTTAACGCGAGCCAATGTTTGAGGGAAGGTGTTAGCCAGTCTGTTGTTCAGCGTGTTATGTTACTAAGTAGATAATTGCTCAGGGAATACTTATGCAGACCGCATTGGTGCTGTCTATTGGCGGTGTATGATTGCTATGGGGTGCAAAACGAATTCATTGGTTCGTGGTTAACGCACTTAACTTGTATACACAATTGTTTTTGGATGCTTGGCGTGGATTATACAATGAATTATTGCTGAGCAGAATTTATATATTATAAAGGCATGAAATGAATAATTATACATTTATAAAATTACTTAAATATTATATATATATACTACCTATACACATACTAGATATATCTATGAATCTATACAATAAATATATTCCTGGTATGAAAGGTCAATCAACAATGTATATTATTGTTTTAATGGGCATTTATCTATTTGGAATATGGGTATTTGTATTTTACGTTACCCTATTAAAATGTATTTGAATATAAAAATAATTATTTTCTCTATGATGAATTATTCGAAAACAATTTAAAAAGCCCGACGCGCGCCAAATGCTCCTGCAGTGCTGTAAAATGGCAAAAACTATTATCACCAATATTATCGCATATCTACTATCGCCACTGCGCCTAGTTACTATCGATAGCGAAATCGAAAAACGGACAGTTTGGACATATGTGAGCTGTTTATGCTTGCATTGCACAGGGGAAACATGATAAAAGCATGACTTGGCAAATATTTTACAATAAAACATGCGTTTAAGGATGTATTATAAAAGTAGTTTTTGTATCAAAGGGGCCTTGGGGTGATATTTGAGTCTTATAAGAAAATATATTGAGTTGATGCCGTACCGGAGCTCAACAAAAAATTAAAAATTCGCTCGTTATATCGATACATCGATATGCTGTTGCCATATCTCAAAGCATATGAACAGTTCTATTTAATGGACAAGGAGAGGAAAGCCTATGACGCGCTCTTACAAACAATAAATAATCGGGCGCGATGCTCCTCAGCGGCGGATGCATGCATCTATCAGCGTCAACTGCAGTTCCTGCGCAACACCGAGAGCCAGACGCCCGCAGGGCCATATGGCGCGAGCACGGCGGCGCAGCTTGCACATCTGTTGACAGAGGAGGCGCTGGCGGCTAGTGGGCGGGGCAATGACTCAGTTAACCTGGACGCATGGCTGGCCTGGCTGAACGAGCTGCTCGTGAGCCGAAAACAGCAGCTCGGTGAGACGACACCGATTCTGGAGTGGCTTCTGCAGCGAGTCGAGCAGCAATGCACAGTGGATGCGGTGCGCTGCCTGCTCCCGCTCGTGGAATCACTGTCAGTGACCGCCGCTCTCAAGTATTTCCCACGCTTCGTTGCCATTCCATACCCGCGCAGCGTGGAGGCGGCGTTGCTATTGGTGCTCTGCCAAGACAAGCTGTTCAGCATATTCTGCACGCCAAATGCCGAACAGCAGACTAAGGAGCTACAGCTAAGCAGCCAGCTGGCAAATTCACTGCTGCAGATGCACTACGATGGACGCTTGGCAGAGATAGCAGCAGCTGGTGACACTCAGGAGGAGCTAACGATGTTGCTGGCCCACTCACTGCAGCTGCTTCAGAAGATAGCCAGCCACCATGCGGACTATGCCATACAGTATGCGCCGGAATTGTTAGGCCTCGCCCTGGCCAATGTGCGATGCAGGGCGGATGGTGGTGAGATGGCGAAGACGGCATATCAATTGCCACATCGGGTGCATCCGGCCCAGCAATCGGCCGTCTATGGGCATGACGATGGGGACGTCGACTCGACTGCTAGCAATCAGAATACAGCTGCTGCCGGCAGGCGAGTCAAGTCGCGTAAGATGCGTTCGCTGACTAAGCAACGGAATGGCAATTGCAATAACAATAACAACCTCCAAGAAAGCCCCAGCAACGTTCCGGGACCCGGAGACCGGATGAAGCTGCTGTTGCAGGGCAACAATGAGTATGGCGGTCGTACGCCGAGCGGTGACTCCGAGGGCGGTTGCACGCCCAGTTCAGACGGCGCCGGGCCACAGGTGGCAGGCCAGAAACAGCAGCGCCAACGCCAGGTGAAACTGCGCATTGCAGCGCTGCAGCTGATGGGCGCCGTCACCAAGCAGCTGCCTCGCCGCACCCTCTACGGCTACTGGCATGTGCTCTTCCCGAGTGGCGGCGGCGGCGATGGCGGCGCAGCCGCCGGTCGCGATAATGGAGATAATCTGCTGCACATTGGCGCCAGTGATGGCAACGTACGCTGCCGTGCCCTGGCTCTGCAGCTGGCTGCACAGCTGCTGTACGGCTCCAAGCCTTATCTCAGCCAGGCTAGCTGCGCCCTGGCGCCCAGCAACTACACACCGTTTGCGATGAGTCTGGCTAACAGCGTCATGGAGGCGTATCGCCAGCTAGCTGGCATACTGGAGCGTGAATATGTGCCGCCGGTGCTGACGCAGTGCCTCAAGTGCCTGGCGGTCCTGGTGCAGGCGACTCCGTTCGAGCAACTACAAATGGGCATCGTCTATGAGTTTGTGCCACATGTCAAAATATTGACGCGGCATGCGGACACCAGCGTCAAGGTGTCTGCACTGCTGGTCATGGAAATGCTGGTGGCCACGCCACGACTGACCCAGGAAATGGCCTGCGCTGTGGGTCTGCCGCTGAAGGAACGTCGCGCTGTCAACATGTTGCACGCATCGCCGCGCCACAATGCCTACCAGGAGCAGGTGCAACAATTTGAATTACTTTACGACTCCGATGCAGAGGAGCTTGAGGATGAAGAGGAGGCGAAAGAGGAGATAGAGGCGGAGCACGGGGAGGAAGAGGAGCAGGGCTCACCTATGGCAGCAAAAGCAGCAGCAGCTGAGCAAACTTCCATTGTCTTGCCTCGGATTCGCATTCCACGCAACTCGTGGCTGCTGCGCCTCGTGCTGCGCTATCTGGACTGTCCGATGAGCGCGTCGCCGCTGCGCGTCGAGTGTCTGCAGGTGCTGCTGGCCATGACCACTCACTTTGGCCTGCTGCGCGAGCATCTGGCGCGCCTGGCCGATGTGCTGTGCAATGCCCTGCAGGACAGCTCATGGGATGTGCGTCTCTATGGAGCAAGAGCCTTGGACGCCATTGGGTTCCAAATGGCGCGCCTTGCCTTAGAGCAGACAGAGTCCAGACCGGAGCAACAGCAGCAGCACTTGAGCTTCTGGCTACGCATGCTACCTACGATCTACGATGCCTACTCCAATGCCGAGACGGCTACGCTGCGGTGTTCCTTATGCGATGCACTCTCAAACATGGGCGGCTACAGCTTCGAGCGCCTGCCCCAGGCACAGCGCACAGGCCTGCTGGCCTTCCTCTTGGGCTGCAGCAGCGACGATGCGGCGGATAGCCTGGTGCGAGCAGCGGCCGTGCGGGCGCTCGCTGTTTACGTGTTGCATCCGACGATGCGCGATGATTTGGTGTTTGTGGAACATGCAGCAGAGCTAGCGCTGCAACTTATAGGCGACGCTCAGCTGGCTGTGCGGATCAAAGCCGCCTGGGCGCTGGGCAACATAAGCGATGCGCTAGTGCAGCCCGAGCGACCGGAGGAGCCCCGTGAGAAGGAGCGCATCTCGCAGGCACTGCTCGGGCGCCTAATCGAAGCGGCCATTCTCGCCTGTGGCGACCACGACAAGGTCCGCGCCAATGGGGTGCGTGCCATGGGCAATCTGCTGCGGCTGCTGTCCGGCGAGGAGCACGCGCTCATGCAGCGGGGCATGGCCAAGCTGTTGGATTGTGCGCGCGCGGCGGGCAGCGCCAAAGTCAAGTGGAATGCCTGCTATGCCATTGGCAACCTGGTGCGCAATCGTGCAATATTCTCGACCAGCGCCAAATTGGCGGACACGCTGTTCGCGGCGCTCAGCCAGCTGATTGTGCAGCACGCGAACTTCAAGGTGCGCATCAATGCCACCGCCGTGCTGCTACAGATCGAGCATAGGGCGGACATGGGCGTGCACTATGCCACAATGTGGCGCTCGCTATTGGCGGCCATCGAACGATCCAATGCCCTAGACTCCTTCGAGGAGTACAACCATCGCGATGGACTGCAGCAGCAGCTCTGCCTGGCCATGGCCCACATGATCGAACGAGCGCGCGCCGACGACTTAGCGCCCTGCCGCGATGCGCTCGAGTCGCATCTGGACGTGGTCAGCAGCACCTGGCGGCGTGTCGCCTATCGCATTGTGCCCGAGCAGGCGACGCCACTCTTCACCTGCAGTTCCCTGCTACAGAAGCGCCTAGCTGCCGCCGCCCTCACTGCGGACCAGCGAAGCGCCCTCACATTCATCAGCAATGCCCTGCGCGTGGAGAACTAACTCAATTACCAGTTAATCGTATTACTAATGGAATCCCTTTTTTACGTAACCCAAATAACAAATCATTTTTTCACCAATAAACTTAATGCGAGCAATTCGAGATTTGAATGTCATTCTTTTTGAATGAGTCCAAGTACAGCTGCAAATGGAGGATGGCTTAGCTTCAGCTCTGTTTCAATTATTTTTTTGTAAGAGTTTTTATTTAACGCATATATGTGTATACATGATTTTTGACAAAAAAAATTCTATTCTACTTGTTCTAGTTGTTGATTTAAAGTATAATCAATCTAGTGCGATTGTTGTTGTTAATTTCGTGTGACAACAACAGCAAAAGTTGGCGCGTCGATGTTGATGACAGTTATTTGTTAAGTTTTTGCTAGATTCAATATTATATTATATTACTTCGCTTACCGATTGTAGGGCTTAGCATACACACACACATTATAAACCGATCAATGTGTGTGTTGTGTATATACTGTATACAAACATATATCTAGAAGAGGCATAGATATATGTATATGTATATGTATATATATGTATATATATATATATATATATAGGTATATGTATATGAATGACTCGCAATAAAAACTATTAAAAGGATGCACACGTATTAAATTAAACAATAAGTAAAATGATAACCGTTCTTGCTGTCATTAAATATAACATTGCAGATGCCTCCAACGTGAATTTCATAATTAGTCAGCCCTCGCTGTCGGCGAAGTCAACAGCTCAAGCATTTCAGAATGAATTCACTCCCCTCTCCCGCCCCTCGCCCCGTTATCCCCGTGACCCCCACAAATTCTATACCCTTGTGACCAAGGCTCACAGCTCCTCCTGTGTTCCAGCTGTTTTTACTCGTCTTGTTGTCTCGTTGTCTTTTTCCGTTCGGCCTTGCGATCATCGAGAATCGCCTGCTGCTCCATCCTACGTCGTTTCGTGTCAATTGGATTTACGGCGTTGTCATCAAAATCCAACACTCGCTTTCCAGAACCAAGCACAATTTTGTTCATATAGTCCAGTTTCTGCAAGAGATTCGATGATAGCGATGCATTTCGATGGTTGCGACAGTTTGCTTACCTTGGACGGACTTGACCTAATCACGTAGACAAGCTGATCCGGCGACTGCTGCATCTCATTCTTGGACATTTGTTTAACGTAAAGCGAGTGGTTGTGTATTAGCTTCCTGGGCACCATTGGCCGCTCAGTGGGGTGTGGCGACATCAGGAGATTTACATTTTTCTGAAAGCCAAAGATTCCAATTGAGATTCACATGATCCGATAGGACGGGAGGCATATAGTCAACATACATCACCATTCTTAGCAAGATAATTGGTGCAGAAGTTTTTCATCTCCGGCACATACGTAAAGTTGTAAAAGTGAATAATATCCTTCTGCTCATATTCGCCGTTCTCATTGACTTTGATGAGCACTTCACGATAGACACTATTTACCGCCTGCGGCTGGTTCCGATACGCCTTCATAATGTCACTAAATTTGGGTCCCTCCATGTTCGTTACCTGAAATCGACGACGTCGACAAGAACAATCAGATAAAAATAAGAGCCACCATGAAAGCGAAGAGAGACGTTACAAAAGAGAAATCTCCTAAATAGATCTGATTGATGGTGATGTGAACTATGATTACTTACTCTTATATAAATATATATTGCACACATGATTATTTGGTCGAGATGGCGATCTTTCATTAGATCTGTTTTGTTTGTGATCGAATGATCAAATATTGTCCAGATCTCAGATTTCTTCTCGCCGAGGTTTAGCTCCGAGCAAAGTTTTCCGATGCGTAGCCAACCAAGCAAAAAGATTTTGCGCAGAAATATCTGTAGTTGGCCAGCTGCCTTGTCAGCGGTCACCTCATGCCAGGTGGGCAGCGGTTTGGGCGCGTGGTCTATTATCTCCCAAAATGGGGAGTTGCGCTTCCATGCTAACCGCTCCAGGCATGTCTCCTCGATGGAATTAAGATGTTTGACCAAGCTGCGCGTAAGGCAGCCCTCCCGTGTGCCATTACTGCCATGGCGTACAACAATTTCGATGATCTTATGAAATTGGAAGGCGTTAATACTGAAACAATCCAGAATCCAGGGGAACTTCAGCTCCGTGGTGTAGGCCTCGAGCACGAGCTCTGTGCAGCAGGCCATCAGCGTCCTAATGAAGATGTCCAATGAGATCTTGTGCACGATTTGTGGCTTAGTCTTAATCTCGTCACGGAGTATATGATCGATCAGGTAGAAGCAAAGTGATTTGGCCATACGAAATCGATTTCTAGCCTCGTTACGCATCGGAAATTTGACCACAAACTGCTCTTCAATTTCCCCAATTGTTTGCAGCATCTTAGCAATAGCCGCTTCGCCAGCCTGTCTTCTATAGAAATCATGTTATATATTTAAATGAATGAGATGCTGGGATTGGAACTGCTTTGAGTAACCTACTTGACAAAGTCGGTGGGCTCGGTTATGTGACTGACTGTGGCGCTCAGCTTCTTCACATTGTTTGTGGCATTGGCCACCGGCTCGAATTTCTGCTCGGACATGACGGGCTGGGCGGGCAGGTCCTGTTTGCGTGTCAACGGCGTCACGGGCTGACGCAGCGCCTGTTCGTTAAGATTGTTGTGCTCGCTAGCGTCGTGCTGATAGGCGCCAAGTATGCGTTCGTCGAATTCGCCAACACTTAAAACATACTGCTCATAGCTGATATTCAGAGACTTAAAGTTTCGCTCAAAGTTTTTATTCGATATCAAGCCGAGCAGCGTCTCCTTATTACCCACGACGGTCTGTGGATTCATTAGAGATTATTTGACAGTTACAAAATGACAAGTTGTCAAAATGACAGTGTGTTGACTGCATTACATTCGTCTGAAAAAAGCTGTCCATAATGTTCCTAAAGACGGTCGCCTTCATATCTTTGGCTTCGTCGAACATCTCGCAAAAGTAGGCAAGTATACAATGATTTCGGGCTTGGGTCTCGTCAAAGTCCGGCGAGTTCCAATTGGCTGGCAAGCCCTCAAATTTCGGATTGATGAGATCAGTGCGTTTCTCGGCCAGCACATTGGCGTAGATGAGATCAATGCAGCACATCATTAGATTGTACGATGTGACCAGATCAAGGGTCGTTGTTGGCTTCTGATTCTTGGCGCACAGAAACAGACGCCAGCAGATATCGTCCAGCTTGATATAGGAGCATTTGCTGTTGACATGTTGTTGAGCAAATGCAATTACTTTAAATCGAACAAAGAGCACGTATGCGTTCATACCTGTTCTTCGAGTGATTCTTTTCGTTGGGCGGACATAGAAAGACTTGATCAAAGATATCTCTGTACTTCTTGTAGATCGTGAATGTGATGCTAAATTTGCGCTCCAGCTCCTCCATTTGCTGTGCAAAGGTATGGGGCATATTTGCCATGTCGCACCACAGTTTGATCTTCTTCTTGAACTCGTAGATGCTGCAAGTGTGTGTGTATATGTATATATATAGAGAGTGAGTGTGAGAGAGAGATAGAGAGGGAGAGCAAAAGTGGGCCACTGGTTAATTATGATAACAACATAACTACATACATATGCATACATACAAATATGTATTAAACTACGCACCTCATTTGACAGCAACGCAGCAAATTGTTCAATGGCACACAATTCCCCATTACGACTGCATTTTGGCCACCCACAGTGGGCGTGGTCGATTGACGGCAGGCCACGAATAGAGCACAGCAGAACCAATGCAAGATCTCCCCCTGCAATGCAAAACAATGTAGGTACATAAATACGTGCGCATGTGTGTGTGAGTGCGAGTGAACTGTGCGGGTGGCTGTGTGCATGTGTGTATATGTATCTGTTTTGTGCGACATGTGGATATCTGTGTTTTTGTATGGATTTCAGACCAGTGACCATTACGTACGCACCTCTAAGGAGTAGTGCTTGAGCACTTCTTTGAGCATTTTGAAAGCCTCGGATTCGGTTTTGATATCCATATTTAGATCACGGCAGAGACTCTCGAACTTTTGGCGCATTGGTTCGAAGTAGTCATCCATAGTGGCGCCAGCGCTGGTCACAACCTCGGCGCCGACCTCTTGCTCATGCACATCGTTGCTCATTGTTGTTGTCGTCGTCGTTATGTTTAGCTTAAACGCAACTGTAAATGCCACTTGTTCACTAATTCTGCTTCTTTTTCTGGTCTAGAAATATAACGTTGCTGCTGACGGCAGCAGCAGCAGCGGGTGCGGCCGCGGAATCAACTTGGAAATGAGCGCGCGACAGCAGCAACAACAACAACAACAAAGACGAAAACGTCGACGATACTTTTCACTTTTTTGCAGCGCAACGGGCGCATTGAGTTTGCTGAATATTCGATCGAAAGACGATTTATTATTGCTTAATGCGTTTTATGTTTTTGCTATTGGTTGCGATGGTGTTGGTGATGTTTGACTATCATGAGGGCACCCCTCTACGACGTATTTAATGATTGTGTGTAGATTTTCCTAAAATAAAAAGGCGGGAAGCCCTGGCGTTGCCACACAAATTTGTAAAGTGCGCGCTGAATCTGTTTTTTTGGCGCCAAGCGCAGTATTTAACATTTTACACACAAAATAGTGTCATTAAAACAATATAGCACATAATGGCACTATTTCGTCAATACATTTTATTTGGAGACCATTAAAATTAATAGAATTATTTTCAAAGTGTGGCAGCACTACACCACATATTGACAGCTGTACTCAAGAGATGGCGGTAAAAAGAGCGCTAACAGCTGTCTGAAAGACCAACGAATGTGCTAATCATGTTCAGCAGGTTCGCAGTAACTGAAGTTTCATATATTTCGAACCCCTCATTGATTCAAAGCTATCAAGAATCCCCAACAGAATCTGTTTAATATTTCAAACATTCGATAATTCGTTGACTCTCGTTATTTCGGATTTCGAGGGAATATTACGAACTAACGAATGTTTGGAATATTAAAGAGATTCTTTAGGGGACTCGTAATAACTTTGGATTAATGAGAGGCTCGAAATACCGCAGGTTTTCAATAACGGGAGTCGACAGTATTTTAAGAGCTCTCAAATTCCGAAATAACGAAAGCCAACAGTATGTGTATGATGTGGCGGCTACCTTACCAAACACTTTGTACTAAAGCTATAGCCATATTCCGTTAAGGAATTTACAGAACGATTACTTACCATGTTAATTGATTATGAGCCAAAACAAACTTTTGTTTCCAATAGCTTGGACACATACACAAATAATTAGGATTAGGCATCTAAGCACTGTAACCAGTTTTCCCTCGCTACTTTCCGTTGGAGACCTATGCGGCCAATGGCTGATTGCTACAAAATGTTTTATACGCACGACGACGGTCAGCTTTTGTCAGCCAACGCAGCCCCAACAGTTTATTGAACACCCTCTCCCGCTCCCGCAGCCAAACAAATTAGGTCTGAGCGGTTCAGCGTGTGTATATACATACATACATATGTAAGTAAGTGTGGAGCTCCCATATACACAAGAAACAATTGGATTTGTGTTACATTATGTTTTATAAATATGCTTTTATTATATTATTAATTTGTTTTGCAAGTTGTTTAATTATTTTTGGCAACATGTTAACAAAAATATTTTATCGAAATAAACATGTAGATGGTATCATTTAGGTGTGCGATCTGTTTTTGTGTGTGGAATGCTTGGGTTATATTTTTGTTATTTAATGTACATTGCATTTTGTTTTCTTGTTTTGTTTTTTTTTTTTTTTGTTTTTTGGTGGGTTTTCTATAATGCGATCATTAATTGATTTGCAGTCGCGCGATAAATGTCGTTGTGCATTTGATATGGTTAGTTTGAAGTTTACTTTTAGATAGTTTAATTCCCTTGCATTGGCAACGTTCCATATGCAATAATATAGTAGTAGTTGTATTAGTTAGTAGTAGTAGTAGTAGTAGTAGTTAGTAGTAGTATTAGTTGTATTAGTAGTACACTGTATATAATATTGTTGTGGTTGGGCTGTATTAGACGGTAAGCATGTGGAATGTATTGGGCGGTTGGCTGTCTCTGTCTATCTGTCTATCTGTCTATCTGTCTGCATCGACAGCAAGTAAATGGACGACTCTATGAGTACTGATCTACGAAATACAGATATATAAGTACATACACATATAATGCTATCAAAGTCAAGGATCTTATCGTATTGCATTTATGCAGCGCCTGCTGCTTCATAAACCAATTGAATTTCAATATCTTCTCGATCATATTTAGTTGTTTTATTGTTTACAAAATTTGTAAATGCATATGCTTTTGATTTACATTCACGTGTAAATGTTGTTGTTCTTTACAAAATGTGGGCTTTTGTTAAATATATATATATATATATAAATATATACATACATATATATATATATTCCTTTGTTATACTCTTCTTGTTGAAATATTGAATTTCTGCTCTTTGCGCGTCTTCTCCATACGTGCAAAATGTTACAATTATATATATATATATATTTATATATATGAATATCTTGCTTTCCATTAATAATTAGATTATATACATTAAAAGGTAAACAAATAAAAAAAAGTTTGTTTATAATTAAGCAACAAATACAAGCGTACAACAATAAATTAATTAACTTTTGCCGTTACTTGGGGGGTTTTTTCTTTTCTTTTCTTATTTTTTTTACTTTTCAAATGTATTTATATATACATATATGTGTGTATACACATATATACATATATATTTATATGATAGATGTATGCCTATAAATGTTATATGGTTATTATAGTTGTGTATTGATTAATTTTATGATTTTCTTTTCGCTTTCTGTGCGTCTCGTTCGCCAACTTCAACTTTAACAAAGTTTTCCATTTTCATTTGAATTTTTCATCTCTATACAATTTCAGCTTGTTAAAAAAAAAAATTACATGATTTTCTCGCAACTTGACGCTTCTCTATGAATAGTTCGTAACGAGTTCTATTTGTTGTTGTTGTTGTTGTTATTTGTTTGTTGTTGTTGGTATTGGTTGCAGTAAATTACTAAAGTAAACTGGTGGCTTTTATGGCTTAGACTTAACACTTCACATAAGGCTTAGGGACTACAGTTAAGATTAAACATTACAGTAAGCATATATACATACATATTTTTGTATATAGATATACATATATATGCATATACATACACGTATATCTATAACCATTTAAGCATTAGTTATATTTGCGTCGCACTGTGGCATTTCCCCTCTCACGCTCGCTCACTCGCTCCATTTCTCTCTCTCTCTCTCTTTCTATCTATCTCCCTCTCAGTTTTTATACAATTTTACAGTTGCGATTTTGGTTGGCGCTCTAATATGACAGAGACTTGGGCTAATGTGGCTTACACTACACTAGGCTAGACGCAGTTCTGGAACGAGGCAGCTGGAGCGGGCTGGAGCGGGCTGGAGGAGGAGGAGGAGGGTCAGAATGCTCCAGAATGCAAAACTCTAGTGGTATGGCTTCAGATGCTCCACATAGTTCTCCGGTATAAGACCCGTCTTGCCATTCAGCGTGCCTTGCAGCCAGCCAGGCTCATGGGAGAATCGCACTGCAAGTGATTCAAACTGTAGTCGAGGATTCCGATCTGATCTGCTCTGAGATCTGGAACTTACCATTTGTTATAATCTGATTTGGCTCAAAGGATAGCTCGCCCTCGCTCTCGCCCATGCAGGCATACAGAGTACGCACGCGTCTGCAACGGTATACAAATATTAAGATATCGACTATGATTGATGATATTGGATGAGCTTACGCTGTGCCCGCGGATAGATCCCGCTTGATTTGGTTGATGTCACGATTGCGATGCATTTTGGTTGGCGCATAGTCGGCGCTCTCGTTGGTCGAGCCGCTACCGTTGCCGGCGCCGGTGAGGCTGCCCATGCCGCTGCCCCCGATCATGGATGGCGCCGCGGTGGCCGTAACAATGTCATCACAGGTGCTGCCCAGCAGTGTGGACAGCGACGATGTCTGCGATGTGATTGGCGGATAATCGATCGAGCTGCGTGCGTTCAGCAAACGCGTCACATTGGCGCTGCTGCCGCCGCCGCCGCCGCCACCGCCGCCAGTAATGAGGGCAGCGCCTCCACTGCCGCCGACGCCGACACCAATCAGGCCATTGTTCGAGGAGAGCGAGTCGCAGACGCTCTCATTGGAGCTGGATGTGGAGGCGGCTGCCACCGGTGAATAGTGCTTCGCCTGGCTGTAGGCAAAGTGACTGCGCTGCACCGGCGGATGCTGCTGTGGCCCGCTGCCAATGACGGCGCTGCTGCTGCCAGAGGTCTGCAGGTGGCGCTCCTTGCGCATTGTGGCCGTGGGCGGGGAGACATCGTTTAGGCTGAGACGATTGCTGCTGGCGTTCGTATAGATGTGACTGCTGGACGCCGACTGGGCCACCGGTGTGGCCGTGGCCATTAGATAGTCGGCATGCCGCAGATTGCTGCTGGCCGTGGCCGGCGTCGCATGATGCGCCTGCAGCGCTGCCCCACCGTTTGTGCTGGGGCCACCGCCGCCGCCCAGTATGCCATAGACGGCGGCCGCTGCATCCGTGCTCGAGGAGCCGCTGCGACGACCGCCGAGCTCGTTTTGCGTCATGGCGTGCAGGTTCTTCATGCTGCCCATTTGGGCGGGCCGTGCACCGTTCGTCGCATGCGCCGACACCACCGTCAGCGAAGAGCCAACGCCTCCGCCGCCGCCGGCGCCGCCATTTGTGTTGCTGCTGCTGCTGGTGACACCGCCGGGCGGTGTGCTGTTGCTCGCACTGGCCGGCCCATGGGCGTAGATCATGCCATTTGGAATATTCTGCAAGCTGGACGACATTGTGGGATCTTGATAATTGGATTTGGCCAGCACTCGGTACACCTTCTGTTCTGGCGAATACAGCGAGCTACGTCCCACACTCCCACCGCCGCCGCCGCCACCGCCGCCACCTGTCGATGCAGCCTTGCCCACCTGTGAGGCACGCGGCATTCTCGTCGGCGGACTGCTGCTGCTCGGATGCAGATTGGCTGCTGAGACAGCGGCATTGACAGCTGTGGCTACGCCAGTGCTCGGATCGTTCTTGAAGATGCGCTCATAGTTCTCGATGAGTATGTTGATGACAATATTGTTGAACTTGATGTCCAAAATGGCGGCGACCGTCTCCTCCAGCGGACGCAGCAGAGTTGGCCCAAAGACAACGCCCAAGTTGAATACAGACATTTTGTTCTTCTCGTATTTGCGCGAGACTCTGAGGATAAATGAGAATGATGATGATGATGATGATGATGATGTTCATTTGAGATGTATTCTTCTTCAGCTACTCACTCTGTTAAATGCCTGATGACCATGTCCAGCATTTCAAAGTTTGGCTGCGGCAGCTTGTAGACCAGTTTGTGAACCTCGTTGACGCGCTGATTGAGGCTCTCTTTCTCTGCAAAAGGAGAGGGAAAGAGTGAGTGAAAGAGAGAGAGGGAGAGTGAGTTATATTTGATCTCTTACTGGCTGCCTCGATGAAGCCGCTGTGATAGTGATAGGTCATGAGGGGCTCGTTCAGATTGCGCAGATACATCTTGAGGGCGCTGGCAATGGTGTTGCTCTCCATGAGATCACGATACTTGTCATCGGTGAAGACATCCTCGTTGTCCTTGCGCTCCATGCCGAGCGCGAGCAGCTTGTTGATTTTGGTGCCCACGCCGCTCTTCCGATAAATGCCCTCGTCCTCCAGACCGCGGCCCTCCAGAATTTGTATACATCGGCGTACAAACATGAAGCCGGTCTCATCCAATTGATAGGCCTCAGTGGCTTTCATTTTACCGGGCACCAGATACGTCTGCGAGAGAGAGAGAGAGAGAGAGAGAGACAGTCAATTCGATTATTTATGGATGAGCACGTGGTTGGGTTATATGTGCATTGGCTACATACCGGCTCCGTGCCGTCCATGGCGCTCAGCCAGGAGCGATGATCCTTCTCGCTCAGCGCCTGAAATGTGTAGACAATGCCCGGCCTCTCCTTGAATGTTAGATCGAAGCAGAAACGCTTCTCAAACTCCGACGCCCGACGCTGGCACGAGAACAGGGTCAGCTTCTCGTCCTCACGCGCCTCGGGACGCGTAAAGCTGTGGTTCATCTGATTGAACTGGAGCATTGTGAATTCGCGCTTCTGCTTCTTGAATGTGCAATAGTATTTCGTCCATGTTGCTTTGAAAGGCTCTAAAAGTGAGATTTTCAGAAGGGAACCTAAGAATCGTTTGCAGTTTGCAAATTGCGGTTGACAGGCAGTCGAGATCAGTGTTGGTGGTGGTGGTGTTGGTGGTGGTAGTTGTGGTTGTGGTTGAGTGGGTATTGGTTGGGTGGTTTTGTTTATAGTTTTTGTTTGTATTTAGTTTGTTGTATTTGTATTTGTATTTGTATTTGTTTTTGTTGTTGTTGTTGGGTTGCAGAGTCGAAGTTGCAGTTGATACCAAAAGCACACGGATTAGAATTTTGTGGTGTTTTTGATTGGATAGAAAATAAATAAAATTCAAAAATACACACAATAAGAGAGTAGACCCATATAAAATGTTTCACAACAAGTTAGTGCAAAATGACAAGAAGAAGAAGAAGAATGAAAAGAAGAAGGAGAAGTAGACAACAGTTTTCAGATAAGACGATAAATTGTTGATTTGTGAGTGGTTGACGAATGAGAAAGCAAAACATTTATCGTTAGACTTCAGGCTAAGCAACAGGCAAGAGACAACATTTAACATTCAACATTACAGATGACACACGGCTAGTTACCCTGTACATTGAGTGTATTGCAAGCGATGTGATAGCCCTCAGCAAACATTTGACTGAGCTTTGACTGATCTATTACGGAACTACTTGTCAAATTTAAGTGAATGTAGTTAAGATGTAATCCTAGTTAAAAGTCGACAATTAGTTCCATATAAGAAGAGCCAAACTCTCTAGGTACTATGAGCTATGAGCATGTTAAGCTCTGAGGATGTTAACTTAAACTCCTTTATTCATTAGAAAATGTATGCATGTAGTGTATATATGACATACTCCATCTGTTAGTTAGGATCTGCCTAGGCATAGGTACTGATATCTCTTTGTCTTCATGCTTTATATAAAGTTAATTGTTATTTACGTAGATTATGATCCAATATTTGCTAAATATGCCAAGCTTAATGTAAGATCGTAAGATTTCTTGTAGAATCACTTTCTGCTGTAAGATCACTTTGTTAAGCTATAAGTCTGCTGTTAATTTGGAGTATTAGATCCGTGTTATACTAGTATAGTTAGTTATGATTGACTTTACCCCAATAGCTTGAGTGTAACCTTCAAAAAACTAAGTTTCATTTATACAAATGAACCATATGGGAAAAACTATCTAGCTAAGATTAGACTGATTAAACTGTAGCCATAGCCATGAGATGCAGTTACTCTCTATATCGTACATGATTTATGATTTCGCTGGTATATACATATATACCATATATAATATTTGGTTTTGTTAACATGCTGCCTCATTGCAAAAGGAATTTCTTATTTCGGTTTTTTTTTTCGATTTTCACGGGAAAAACTTACTCTTTTCCATCAAAAACAAATAGCCGCGTTTGGTGAATATCTCCTCCGACTTCTGCAATGCAAAATGTATATATATATTTACTATTTAACTATATATACTATATATATTTAATGATATTTACCGTACGCTTTTCCATGTACTTGGTCTTTAGCTCGGTGACCTTTTCGCGAGCTTCCTCAAAATTTTCGCGAGTCTGCCAATGAAAATGCGAGATAATATAAACTGAGCGGGTTAATTAATATGATTAGGCGAATTAGCACTTACCTTTTGGACTTTGTGCCTCAGATCCTGCAGATAGTCGCGATGGTCCTCGGCCTGCTCGTGAGCGGTGTGATAGAATACCAGCCAGCCAGATATGAATGCCAATAGTATTTCGACAAACTCGAATTTGATGCGTTCCTGCACCTCCTGGATGCGCAGTACATAGCTGAGCGACTCCTGAATGTATTCGCGCTCATGCATGCCCAAACTGGCATCGGCCTGCCAAAAACCGAGATGGAGCAGCGTTAACGTTGGATAGATATGCATGTATGTATGTATGTATATGCGTTCGTATTTGCAAAATAGTCGTTCACTATAGATGTATGCACATGCACATGCACATGTATATGTATGTATGTGTGTATGTGTGTATGTGTGTATGTATGTACTTGAGCAGCAGCAGAGACAATTGAATGTGCCGCACGCACTTTGACCTTTGCGGCCGGCATTTACGTATGTTTACTGTATGTTGCACAGGTGTTGCGTAGGTGTCTCTATGTGTGTGCCGCTCTGCGCCTGTGTGCGTTTTAATTACGCCTACACGCCGCTGCCACAGACACGCGCCTACATACATACAATTGTCTATATGCACGTATGTGTGTGTGTGTGTATGCCGGGATAAACTTTTCACTGGCCCCACATATCCACTGAGAAACAAAAACAAACTATGTTTGCGGCTATGGCATATGAATATGGGACGCATTGGCTCGCAACAAATGACATTTAACATTTAGCAACTTCCTTGTGATTTATCAGTTTAACTGACTCGCTCTCGCTCTCACTCTCGCTCGCTCTCGTTCTGCCTCGCTCTCTCTTGTTCTTTCTCTGTTGAACTTTGATATTTGATGTGCTGCCTAAGCATAATTGCAATTGATGTGCACACAGTTTGAACATTTGACATCTGCAAAATCTCCACACACACACACACGCACACATACGCAGCGACAGCGACACACATACACAAAATGCCATTTCACAGTTTTTGACCTTGATTTTGGGCAAGTTTGTAATCAAAAGTGACATTGCAACTTGGTAAAGCTAAGCAACTATGTAAGGCATAGGGAACCAGGTTTCGTAGGATGAGTTTTCCTTATATGCATATGCATATCTACATTGATCTACGATCATTTTTAATATATTCCATCTTAACTTGTTTGAAATTGTATTCAGTCATGATTCAAATTGACAGCCAATGAATAAATAAATCAAATAAAACTAACTAAATAAGAGAATCTGTTTGATTTGGTCATTCCATTTGACTCGCGTGGATATATGCGCTTGCATACAAACACCTGTTAGTGGCCACACACACACACACACACGCCTAAGACTTTTATTATCAAATTGAGCACATTTGCGGAATTAGCTGAGACACTTACCACAAATACAAACGGCTGCCGCGCACTGCATTTTATTAGCTCAATTGTGAACTTGATGCAGCAGCAGCAGCAGCTGAAAGTTCTGCAAGCTGCGCAGCTTTGCAGCTGGCATATATACGTAATATATACTATATACTATATATATATATCTCTCTCTTTTTAAATAGATTGCATTGAAATCGTAGTGAATTATTATTTACGAAATATAAATCAAATTGATACGCAGCACTGCAAAAGTTGTTAAGCCACGCACACACACACACAGCTACAGCTACAGCTGGGGAAACGCCTTTGAGCACTTGTTATTGTTGTTGTTAATGTTTGTTAAGCTGCTGCTGCTGCTGCTTCTTCTTCTGCTTCCTTTTCGCTTTACATTTAGCATGCTTTTAGGCGCTCGCACGACAAACTCGACGCCCACCGTCGCGTTGGCTCTCGCATTTATTTACTTTTGTTTTGCATCAATTTCAATTTTCTAAATTTTAATACAATTTCAACTTGAACTGCGTGTTTTGGTGCGCTTTTTTTTTTTTTTGCAGCTAGCTGAGCGAGCTGGTTGATTGGCGCTGCTGCTGCTGCTGCGTGTCGATTTAATTTAGTTTTTAGTTGTTTTTTTTTTTTTTTTTCTTTTATTTTTGCTTGCTCTACGCATTCCAGCCGCACGCACACGCACACTCACGCACACTCACGCACACTCACGCATACTCACGCACACAATGGAAGCTGAGCGTGTGGCGCGCACATGAAAATCCTGCGCGAATTTGTTGTTATTTTAGCAGGGCAATTCGCATTGGATTGCCAAAAAAAAAAAAATAAACAAAAAAAACACAAATTAAGCACACAAGCCGAAAAACAAAAACAAAATCGGCCACAGCGTAACAGGCCAAAACAACAACAACAACAACAGCAGCAGCGAGCTTCGAGCTTCAAGCTCCACAACCAGCTCCAGCTGTGGCCTCCAGTGCGTGGAAGAGCGCCTGCGCTATTTCTAGCTTCCTTTGCTGCCCAACTATATTGGTTCACTTCCGAATCGGGTATACGCATATAGACGTATATAATATATATGGATTTAAATATATTAATATATATAGAAATTTTGTACAGTTTTAGTATTTAAAGCCTCTCTATACAAAAAAACTGCGAGATTATATTAGCTTTAATCGACAGGATTTTCTAATCTATTTTAAGCTAGTTTTTTTTTTATAGTATTTCAGTTTTAATGCAAATAATTAACTATATATTATATATGCGTATGCATAGATATACATACATATATATAATTTCAGAACTATTTACATGCTTATAGTCGGTCTTTAATATACGTATATAGAAAATATAATTATATGCTTCTGAGTAGGCTCTAAGAGGCTATAGGTTCGACTTTATAAATTATTTACAGTCTCTTTAAATATGAAATGCTAAAGTCAAACGAAATGTATATATTCAAAAATTTATCTATACATATATTTTCATCGACCTGTTATATAGCAATGGGTATCTGCTTGTCTATCAACTTCACTTTCATTGCTTTGGGTTGATTTTCAATCAGGAAATGGTGTTAGGAGCTGCAAAGATATACCTTTCTAGAAATAGCTCTATATGCATATACATAAGCAACATGTACACATGCATAAGCATACACGCACACACATAAATATATATATACATATATTTAGCCTGATCTAGGCATGCCACTCTGCTCTCAGCCAATGAATTAGCACAGTGTAGAGCGCAAATAACCAAAACAAAAACAATAATGAAAACATTTTTGCACTTGTTGGCAGCTTGGACAAGTGGCAAATTGCATGCTACAGTTGTTGTTGTTGTTGTTGTTGCTGTTGCCACATGTCGTAGTAACTGCAACAAACGACATTTAAGGGTCGTTTGTGTCAACAATAATAAACGCACACATACATGCACATGCACACACACACACAAACACAATGGCTGCACACACTTAAACGTAGCATACTTTTCAGCACAATGTGCACATCTTCTCTCCCCCTCACTCTCCTTCGATTACGCTCTCTCTCAGTCCCTCGCTCTCTCCTGCTCGCACGCACACTTGCTTTGCTTTGGCAAAGCACACGAAAGCTCTGCTTAACCACTATCGATTGCTGTGCTGGTTTGTGTTATCGATATGTTTTGCTAGAACTTTATTAAAAATTCAATTTTTAGCTGCAAATTTAGATTAAAAAATTTAAAATATTTTTAACTAAAATTTGCATAAACCAGATATTTTATGCATATCGATATATACAATCTACAAACAATATCGATAGCACAGAAAGCTTCATAGCTAAGGCCGCATTTATGCTTTAAAGCTCATTGAAACCTAAATACAAACATATATGTACAGATATACATACATACATGGCTATGGTTAGGTATATTTGACTCTACGCATGCATGTGTGTGTGTTCGTGTGTGTGTGTGTGTGTGGGATTCCCTCGGAAAACCATCGGCGTTTTGCATTTTTGCGTGGGCCAAAACACAAACAAAAAACATTTTGCTACCGTCTGAGTCTTTCGCCCACATTTGGCGGCCGGCAAACGTGGCCGTAACTAAATATAGACGACAGCATCTATTGTGGCAGATACTGTTACAGTTACATCTACGCCCACACTGGCAGGCAGCCTGCCAGGCTGACAGGCTGGCGCGCACGTTAACGGTATCTTCGTTGCAGAATTTATTGCCGTGTGTCTTGAAATTAGCGAGCGCCCGTGCCCAGTGCCAAATTCTGACATTTGCCAGCAGGATGCTGCGTGGGCAGCAGCAGCAGCAGCAGCAGCAACATAAAATGTCGGCTTAAAGCAAATGTTTAACGCTTTTCCTTTTTTCCATCAATTTCCTTTCAGTTTGCGCAGTTAGCAAAGCGGAAATTGCCCAAGAAAATGTGCCTGCACCTGCAGCAGCAAACAAGATTTTCATTCTTCTAGCCTTCTTCTAAATGGCTGCCAACAACCCCTCGAAGTGGCCAGACCCCAGACCAGTCCAATCCAGGCGCATTTTCACACCCTGCTAACCGAAACAGTTCGTGTCGAAAAACTGCAATAGTAAAATTTTGATAAGGCACAGCATCCAACGGGCAACGCATTACCTTAACGATGGGGGGGAGGTAGCTCTGGTGTGGGGGGCACGGATGTCAGTCGAGCCGTTTTGGGGGTTGAGCGAGTGTCGTGTGAGAGAAACAAACCCTCAGGTACAGTTGCTTAAGGAAAATGCAAATGCAAAAATGCAAAACCCAAGTGAAATATTTGGCTAGAAAACTATCTGGAAATCGATTACAGTGCCAAATACTTGGAAGTAATATGGGATTAAGGAAAATATACCATATAATATATATTAAACAATGATATGATTTATATATATTGTGAGACTTGAAGTTGCGCAATATAGGATATGATTAGATTAGATTAGATTAGATTATAGGTAGAAGCTCTTAGAATATGAAGATCTTACAATATGAACTTTTTATGCGAGGGACTTTGAGGAATAAAGCTCACATTTCTGTGGAGGATATTAATTCTATAGACCTTGACAATAGATTGACATTGAATCTTCATGATATTGGACTTCATAAAGCCATTTAGTTTAAGTAAATAGTTGACAGCGAAGTTTCCTTGGTCTATATCCTTCGATCTTTAAACATATTTATACGTATATACCTATATATTATTACATATTACATAATTATACATATTTAAGGTGTACAGGGAAATTCACTCGTTTGTATAAAGCAACATCCACTAACACCAAATAATAAACTTTTATAAATTTGTTCATAAGAAGTAGAAGGAATAAGCATAATTTTTTAAGCTCTTGTAGCTGCCGCTTCCTGCTTCCTGCTGCCTCCGCCTGCTGCTGCTGCTGCTGCTGCTGGGCTCAGTCTGTAGACCCTAATAGGCTTTACATGCTAAGCCCAGCTGGGAAAGCGCCTTAGCAAACTTTGGAACGTAAAACAATTTAAGCGAAAAATATATAAAGTAAAGCAGAAAATATCACAGCTTAAAGAGGCAGAGCAATAGAAGACAGACGGAGAAACGGGCTCTGTGTGTGTGTGTGTGTGTATGTGTATTTGGTGTTGCAACAATGACAACGAAGCGTGACTGATAACGAAATTGTGGTGCTTATGCAGACGACAAAAGACAAACGACAGACAACAGACAACAGAGAACAGCAACAGAGAACAGTTAAACAGTCAAGCAACAAGGCCGACCGGCCGGCCGGCTGACTGGCTGACTGCCTGGCTGACTGCTTGGTTAGCCGGCATGGAAACCGACGCCGCGTCGCAAGGGTGTGAAGCGGAAAATGTTTGAAAATGCCAGGATATCAAAGGCAGGTACACACGCCTATTGGCTGGCCAGCTTAGAGACGACGACGACGACGACGACGACGACGACGTGGGCTACGTGACACGCATGCCAAAGCATCAAAAATCAATATTTAGCCACTGGCGGCCGCAGCGGCTGCACCGCCCTTTTAGCCAATCGAAGCCCACCCGCCCACTTGCGCCCCACTTGCAACAGTGCAGCCGGGTTGCTCAGGTTGCTCACAAATTGTGCTCTGATTGAATTCATTAAGTGGCTCAAATCGCTCTCAGCCACCAACTTAACGCTTAACGACATTTTCAACTAATTTCGAATCGATAAATATTGTTCGCTTGCATTATTGATAAAGCCATTTATAGCAGTGACATTCCGGCATGTGCTTTGATGAGTATTTAGAAATAAACTGACCAAGGATATATACATATATACATATATGTATGTATATGCAATAAATAAATCAGTTTCTGAAGGACTCAGAGGACGCCCATTCTATTTAGTTCAGCTTTATGCGATTAATTTGTGTAGAATTTATGTAGTTTTGAAAAATCATGGTGCTCCAGTTGGGCATGCTCGACTAGAAGATACTCAGCTGCTGTTTCATTCATAATACTCTAAATTTTTACCTCAAAGTTGAGCCCAATCGAATCAAATTTTTCTTATCCAACTGCCCCAAATCTCAATTACTAAAAAATCAACCAAATTATGTTATAAATATTTACAATTTCAATACTGGTAAACACAAAAAAACCTCCAGTAAATTCCATTCCAATCCAAAAAAAAAAAGAAGCCAACAACAAAATAAAAGCTGACCCAATTGGAAATCGCAGCTGGCTGGTCTTTCCTAGGAACGCGTGCCAATTAGATTAATATGCAATTAAAAACGCTGCCAATGGCTCAGGCTATGCATCAGCTGGGTTCGGTCGATGCGTTGGCCACACGTCGAGTGCCAATGCATCATCGTTGCGTTTACATAGCTCACCGCGAGCCCACCCACCGCAGCCTGTTTACATTGGCCGCACTCATTGCAAGAGAAGCAGAAGCAAAGAAAAAAAAAAAGCGAATGGTTAACTGTTTACTTTTTGGCCACACTCATTGAATAGGTCAAAAGCACTCACTGCCTGCGCACAGAGTGGTCCAAACGAATTGATTTTTGTGACTGTCCAGCCACACAGCCACACCGCCCGTCCGCCCGCCCGCCCACTCTCCAAGTTCATTGACCTCAATCAAAAAATGTTCTACAGGTCAACTAGACAGATTTTAGGTCAATGACTTTGCGCCGAGCATCCCAGTTGCATTTTAAGGATTTCTTTTTCGCATTCGCATTTTTTATTTAAAATTTTCTTTCTACATTTCAATTGGCAGTGCCTCAAATCTCTTCTTATATGTATACCACTCTCTAAAATTTCAAATCCAGCTGTCAAGAAAATACCTTCAATATCACTTGACTTGGCTGAAAGCATTCAACATTTACTTAACTGATTTCCAGCTGGATGTTTTCTATGCTCTTACTTAAAGTTCATAAAATGTGTTTACACTATATATACATATATATATGTATCTGTATATATGTATATGCATATAGACTTTAAAATGCATGACCGGAAACGTGCTGGCCACAAAATGGGAGCTCGGTGCGCGCATGTCTGGCCATGGCAATATGTAATAGTTATTACGGCCAGGATCTGGCGGCAGGGGCTAGCGTGCCATGCGGAAATGGGCAACATTTGGCCAACAATAAAAAAAAAAGAAGAGCTTTGCTATATAGCTGCTGTAGCAACGAGCAACGAGCCAGCGACCACCCTCAACAAACACATAGAGAAGAGCAGAGAATAACACATTATATACTGTGCCAGTTAAACTTGACAGCCAGAGCAACCACAAAAGTCCAGAGGCAGCAGCGAACGCAGAGTAAATAGCAGCAAATGCAACGATTGCATGCCACATTGTGTATACGAATTCCTAGGCGATGCTCAGTGAAGACTCGCTAAGCCAGCCGCCATCAATTCAATATTGGTAATTGAGCAAAGCAAAAATGAAGAAAATCGAAACTTGAACTGAAAATAAATTCATTTTCCCTTAGTTTAATATAACTTTGTTCGGATTATAATGTAATATTTAGTATTATCAATATTAATTCAAATCTATGGCATAGAGGCTTTGCATACTTTTAAAATCAGTTCTATTAGAAAGGCTTCTCTCCTAAAGTGTTACTCATTCTCTGGCAAAAATTCTACTCTATAGAAGTTTAAAATAGAGGTAAACAATCTATATATTCTATATAAATTTTGGAACTTTATACCATTTCAATAATATATACTATAATACATCGTATATATATCAACTTTCCAAATTCATATTCCAACTCATCTTGCATTTCAACTTAGTTCGTAGTTTTTCTTGTCTCTCATCTAGCAGTGTCTACTGTACGTTATATTGATGCAATTTGACGTAGGTCATGGAACTTTGCCACTTTTTTTTTTTTTTTTTTTTTTGCTAATAAAACTCTTCTTCCTCTTCTATGTATAGGCATTGTGTAAGTAGTGGAAGCAACGAAAAACTGTTGGGACTTTGGGGACTCTCGAGGGGTGGGCGGTGGTGGGAATTGCAGTTGGATCAGGGCGTGCACCGAATACAGACACTGAGCCACACAGGACGCTAGGATAAAAGTGTAGACGAATTCTATTTGTTTGGCTGTTGGCATTTTCGTATGGCGCAAAGTTCTAAAGCAATTGGATGAAATTTGTCTACGATTGCTGTGCACGAAATTGGAGAATTTGATGACTTTGGGCGACTCTCACCTCTTGTATCGTGTTCTCTGGCTTTTTGGTTGACATGTTGAGGAAGCGCTCCTGTGACTGACAGAACTTCTCCGTCTTCTTGTCAAACTTCTTTTTGTTCTCCTTGACACCGCCGATTTGTTTCTTGCGAAAATCCTCCAGCGATTCAATAATATGTTTATCCGCAAGAGTTAGCTGCAAATTGTTAAATGCATATATTGAATATATATGTATATGTATATAGCATATAATATGGTATGCCATGTATGTATGTATATAGTATATAAATGTGCCAGCACTCACCATTTTCTCGCGTTCATCCTCGATGGTGCCAATAATCGCACCGAAGCGCTTTAAGCTCTCACAAATGACGTTCTCATCGTCGGTCTGAGCGGTGCCGATGCACTCAAAGTTGAAATCGTTCAACAGAATGGCCAACTGTTTCATTCGTGTGGAAAGCACTGCAAATGTACGAAAATTACCAGGTTAGAGAAGCGATAAATACTTGTTATAATTAATATATCAATATAAACGTATAAATATGTATATCTATGTTTATATCAATGTCAATCTCTTAATCTCTATCTCAATTTCAGTATCTACATCAATCACAATCATAATCCCGATATTAAGCCCTTATATATATATCTCTTATATTGTATTTTTTTTTGGCTCTGTCTCCTAACTTCTATCTCCTATCTCCTATCTCATATCTCATATCTCATATCTCATATCTCATATCTCATATCTCATATCTC